ATTCATGGATTAAGCTAATATCTTTGAAAGCTTGGTCACAAAATATTAAATAATTAGATTTTTTTTTTTTTAATTTGAGGCCTACCCTTACAAGGCTTGGGTTTGCCCCTGATTACAAAAATAATGCGACAACTATGCTTGTTTGACATGTAATCTCTTTTAAATATTTAATTTGTTTTTAATTTAAAATCATGTAATTATCTTAAAACACTTTCATTTTGTATAAGTAAGTTTGTATATAAAGTATTATCTTTTAAAAAAATGAATGAGGTATTCTAAGTAAATGAGAATATTGGTAAATCATGTTGGGGTCAAAAATCACTTCCCTCTAAATTAACACCACAGCCCAAGCCTGGTTAATCAAAACCCAAAATGTTCTGAAAATAAAAATAAACACTGCGTGTGGGACACTACTTTTCCTTGATGCTATCCTAAAAAGCAAAAAATGCATTTATTTTAATATTCTTCAAAATTCAATCATATTTTATTCAACTAGAACATTAACAATTATATTTCTCAATAAAAGTCTTAAAATTAATAAAACACCCCCATCCACCCAAGCTACTATCACCCACTAATATCCACCGTTGTCGCTAGCCACCACCGTTTGTCGTTGTTAGTTATCACGGTACCATAACGACACACAAGTGATTGGATCTAGTCGATCGTATGTCGATCTGTCTGTTTCTGATCAGATCTACAGCTGAAATTTAGTTTATCACAACTGTCATATCTTGGCTGTTATTGATGGCTATATCTAAAAAAAATACATTTGTAATTAAGAACAAGATAATAAGGCCTATGGTTTCACTTACAAATGCACTTAATAGTTTATTAATCTTCAATTTGACCCCTGAATAAGGGTCAAAGAAGTACACTTTTTGTTGTGTCACATGTGGATATTCCACCACATGGCATAGATCAAACACAAAAGAGACGCGTTAGTGTCATGACACTCTCCTAAACTCAAAAAATTGACACTTAGACCCAAATACTACAGAAACTACCCTCCTAGACTCCTTGCCATTAAAATGATCGTTTGATTGGACGTTGACTCTTTTTATCAAGTCAAACAAGTCCAACGTCCAAATAAATGTTCATTTTTAATGTAAGGGGCTTATACAGTAGTTTATGTTTTGCGAGTTTCAAAGAGTGTATATAACAGTAAGGTATTAACGCATATTATTAGAGTAAAAAATAAAAAAAAGATGAATTGCCCACAAATTGATGTTGTTTCTAGATCAAGTAAACTTGGTAAACGACTTGTGAAAATAAATTGGGAGGTAATTTTGTTAAAGGTTCAACGCCAACAAATATTGATGATGGTTGAGGAAGAACCATCATCAATATGTAGAATCAGTCGTGAAGAAATATACCAACAAAATATGTAGTTGCTTTCTTTGTGCTTGTTTGATATCTAAAAGTGATTTAAATGACTAGTGGACATTTAAACGTTTAGGGAAATGTAAAACTTGAAACCAAGTGGATTTGGTAGGAAGAATATCAGATAAACTACCAACAATACAGTTGAAACTATTTGAAACCTATGACTAGTATATTGTATAATGGGAAATTTTCTATAGCAATTAAATGTTCTTTGAGTTCACAAGTGATTGACGTCAAAATCCCAAAATCCACAATAGCGGTAAAATTCTCAACAGGGAAAGTTTATACAAAAAAAAATATATATGCTGCATTTATTGAAATTTGAATATGTAAAATTAAAGAATTTCAACAACAAAGGTATTCCTTAATAGAATAAGAAAAAAATTGAAGTAAATAATGTTGGGAATTGTCCCAACATCAATTTTCCAGGAACCTAAGTCGGGTACTACAAATATTATATATTATCACAAGCATTCATGTCATGCAAGCATAAGCAACCAATGTCTTAGCATATAACTTTAAACAAGAATATTAAAATCAAATGTTTTATTTTATGTTTGATTAATCTTAATGAACTTGATTAATTAATTATTGATCTTAAATTGCCTTAAAGAATGGAATTAGATTCTTCATCCAAGGGTGAAGCTGCGGAATTCAATTCCATTCCTAGTTTGAATAATTAATTAATCTATTGTTTTAACAATATATGAAACATCCTAAGCCTTTTTTTTTTTTTTTTCAATCTCTTTTTAGTGAAAATTTTATTTTATTAAAATGTAATAGTAAAACAATATATCACATGTTTATTTTAATTAGATAAAAATCATTGTATTTTTAAATTTCCTTAAATTAAGAATTATCATTTATTTTAAAAGTTAAATAATATAGAAGTACCTTAGAGTAAAACATGTCTATGATAATTTTGTTGAGACTAGAGAAACTTATTACTTTATACAATTTCCTATTCTAAGTGGGTTAGATTTATGGGTTTGGGTAAAATTTACCCTCAAAAACTAACTCAAGGGAGGTGACAGTGCCAACACATATATACGTTACAATAGTCTACTAAATTGGCGCTGCGGAACAAAATAAAACTTCTAACAAGAATCACAACTAATTAACATAAGTTGGATATTGTTTAAAGAGATTTATATATTTATTATTTGGATTAAATTAATCTAGTTTCTTTTAGTTGGATTGAATCTAAATTATATTTAAGTTGTAATATTGGGTTTTGTGTTCTATTTTAGATTATATACGTTATGCCTGGAAAAGTAGCATTGATTCAGCGCCCTGTCAGCGTAAGCAGTCAGACCTCGGGAAGGTCTTGCAGTTGTTCAGGCGCAGCCACGTCGTGTGGTGACATGAGCAGAGCACTTCTGCCAATGTAGTGGGTGCGCACCAGAATGGCAAGAAGCTGAAGGTGTTCCACGTGTCTAATCCCTGCACATGTCGTGCAAATCCCTTGAAGTAGGTAAAAGACGGGACACAAGGAAAGATTTGCACGGTAACCTGATCCACTCCCAGATTCAGCAATCATTATCTTAATGTATCCCACTATAAATAGAAAGCTTATCTCCCGTTTGTGGGATTAGCTCATTTTTACTCTGTAATAACTTACTCTCTCTCTCTCTCTTTCTCTCTCCCTCATATTATATTCTCAATACTCTAAAGTCAGCTCGCTAGCCGCAACCTGATCCTTCAAATATAAATACAATATCAGTAGACGTAGGATTCGCTTGTTTACGCATCCAAACCACTTTAAACATTGTTTTCCCATTTTTACACTCTCAATCCCTCGTTCACGTGTGTCTCTTGAGTCAATTCAGCGTTTTCCACGTGCGAGTCATTGTTGTCAAAATCGAGCATCAACAATATATGATCATCCTCTATTCAATAATCTTAAATTCACTTTAATGTTTCTATTAACTATTTAAAAGCTTAAACACAACTTTGTCCAAATACTCTTAATCAATTACATTACACCAATGATTTTCTATTGTAATTACATCTTTGTATTTTGTTCTGGTAAAAATTCATATCAAGTGAGTATACTTGTCCTTTCCAAAAAAAAAAAAATCACAAAATTTCAATTAAAATTATCAACTAATTCGAACTGTCCCCCTTTTTCAAACTATGATATTTGATTCATCAAAATTATCGTTATTGAATACTTTAGAACATATGATGCAACCCAATCCTCACTTTCAAGTTTCAAAAACTTTTCTTTTTCTTTCCCCGACAAAGTTGGCATATTTTCTTTTCACATCTAGGAATTATATATACAAACAATATATATTTTTGTCGAGAGTCAATCTCTAAAGTCCATTCCATCCCACTGATCAAATAGTTCCTGCAACATAAAAAAAAAAAAGAAAGAAAATTTCCACAGAATTTCCTCAGGAAAAGAAAGATGCCAATTCGTGCTCATGGCACGGTCCACCGCAAATATCCAATATAAATTATGTTTTCATTGTTGTTGCAATAGCTTCTTCTTCTACCTTTGAGCTGCATCAGGGAGAATCTAAGCAGAAGAAGAGACAGATTGATCGATGCCTGAGAAATTTTATCTTTAAGGTATTTATTTTTCTAAACCTTTTCATTTAATTAGTTACCTACGTATCGACAGGATTCCAGTTTCAAACTCAAGTTCTCAAATCAAGTTCGAAGATTTCTGGAGATTTAAATATGTATATATAGCTAGCTATTAGCTTGATATATTTTTTATCATTAAAAACTTTGAATTTTGACAGTATTGCATCATCTTCAAAGTGCTACTGAATTTGCTTTCTAATGTTCTTCAAAGGCCGAAAATGGATTAACATGAGTTTCTTTTCATTTTCATTTTTATTATTTTTCCCTATTTATTTAACATTTTTTTTTTTAATTTTTGAACTAAATCCTCAGGGAGATACCTAAGGTAATCAAAAAGCAAAGTACAACATTTTGATTAATCGTTTAAAAAAGAAGAGAAAAAAAAAATCTCACTTCGTGCTCTATTCTGATAATAATTCTCATCACAGGCATTTTCAAAGATTTTACTTGGAGAATGGAGGCAGCAATGATCGAGCAAGCAGCTGGTGCAATGGTTGCGCGGCACTAAAGGAGGAAAAAACATGTTCAATTGTTTGAAGCAGAAGCTCGCTTATGTGAAAAATATGAGCCAGAATTTTGCCAAGCTTGAAGAGGAAGAAAGACTCTGTGTAGAAGAGGCAGACATCAAAACACAGGTGATAGAAAAAATTTAAAATGGAGAAGACTCAAATGTGAAACTGGCTAAGATGTGGAAAAGATGAAGGAAGAGATCAAGGAGTTGAAGATGAGTATCAGAATATCCGCAAATGTGTGTGTGGAGTAGGCCCGTTGTTGAGATTCCTGAAGCTTGGTAAAAGAATAGTGGAAAAAACAGAGGAGATTGTCTGTTTAAAGAATAAATTGGGCAAGTTCAAGTAATGGTTGAGAAGGACTAGCTCCAATCATCAGAAGGGTGCCAAGAAAATTGAAGAGTTCCATCACTTAATGAACATGTAGAACTGTTGCAAGAATATCTCAGAGATGTCAAAATAAAGACAATCTGCGTATGGGGGCCTCCGGGAGTTGGGAAAACTACAATAATGGAAAATCTGCATGAAGCAGTTGGTAAATTATTTGATGTAGTTTTCTGGGTAAACGTAAACCCTGATGGAAATGTCAGAGAAGTGCAGGAAATACTTGTGAGGCAGTTAAATCTAAAAGCGGATGAACAGAACAATGACCAAAGAGCGGAAATGATATCTGAGGAGCTGAAGAATAAAAGGTATGTGTTATTTTTTGATGGAGTTTCTTCAGAGATTAATTTGGAAGAAGTAGGGATTTGTGAGGAGCATGAAGCAAGGAAGGTGGTGTTTGCCTGTAGAGACAGAAATATATGCTGGCAAACGGATGTCGATATCAATATTCGGAGATTATCGGACGAGGACGCTGGAAAGTTATTCTGGAAAATAGTTGGAGTTCATTTGAAGGAAAATCGAAACATCAAGCCAATAGCAAGATTAATAATCAATGAGTGTGGTGGGATGCCAAATATGGTTAAGATCATCGGAGCTAGCTTGAAAAATGTGAATGATCCAGCCATATGGCGCTCTTTTTTGAGTCAATTAAGATCACCAAGTGGAGAACAAAGGCAAGAATTGGAAGACTTCTACAGGGTCTTCAAACTTGAATGTGACAAGCTAGGGGATGAAAAGAAACTCTGCTTGTTATATTGGGCTGTTTTCCGAGCTGGCTATGAGGTTCCCCGAGACTACATCATTGAGTGCTGGAGAGCAGAGCAATTTTTGGTGGGGCTCCAAACGCTCGGGGAGGCACGTGATAGAGGGCACGCGATTTTGGATGAATTAGTGAAGAAAGCTTTACTGGAAAAGGGAAGTAAATGGGCACACTATAAGATGTATCAGCATTTCCAGCGAGCAGCATTGAGAATCGCTAATTGCAGGGAGAACAGGGTCAGAATTTTAGTAAAAGAGAGGGAAAAGATTAGAGAAGAAGAATGGGAATCGGCAGATAGGATCTCACTGATTAGTTCATGCCAATTAATTTTTCCAGAAAGTCCCAAATGTTGTAGAATCTTAGCTCTGTTTGTCCAGGAATGTAGCTTGGCAGAATTTCCAAGTTCATTCTTCAGTTATATGAATGGCCTTCAACTTCTTGACTTACATGATACCAATATCAAGTCACTTCCATCATCCATCTCCAGCTTGGTAAATCTCAATGTGTTATTCCTGAATCGTTGCAGTCAATTAACACATCTCCCTGTTGAGATAGGAGGTCTCCAAAGACTTGAAATTTTGGATTTATGTCATTCTGGATTTCATAGTTTGCCTGCTCAAATTGGACAATTGACCAATCTTAAGTGTCTAAGAGTTTCATTTATAGAAAATTTTGAGAATCACAACCATGTGGACTCTGGACCAAAGGAGATGATCGCTACTAACATAATTGCCAGGCTTCAATCATTAGAAGAGCTGAGTATTTATGTGAATCCCGCCAGCAGGAGATGGATCCAAAACGCAGAAAGTATTGCAGAGGAAATTGCTACCTTGGAAGAACTAAGAACTCTTAGTTTCTACTTTCCCTCTGTGGATTGCTTGCAGACTTTTGTCAATAAAAGTAAATCATGGAATGGAAACGACACATTGTGGCGAGGTAACAGCTTCAGATCATTTAGCATCGATGTCGGTTATCAGAGAAGAAGCAGTCCTCCTGTAAAATTAATTGACTCAAAATGCAAATGCACAGCTGAAAAGCATTTGAGATTTTCTGCAGGTGAAGGATTTCCTGATGCAGTTGCAAAGATATTGGAGGAAGCATGTGCTCTGGAGCTGATTGGTAATAATGTTGTCAATATATCATGTTTAAGCACTGCTGATAAACTAGGAGGGCTTGAAGCTTGTGTAATTGAAGAATGTGGTGAAATGACAAGCATCATTGATGGTGATCTTGCAGGAGGCCCGGCATTTCAGCAATTGAATGAGTTACACTTACTGAGTCTTCCGAAACTGGTGCACATTTGGAATGGTCCAATAGACTCCAAAAGTCTTACCATGCTTACAACTCTAACGCTAAAAGGATGCCACTGTTTAAAAGCACTTGTCTCAGAAGCAATGGCCCTCCGACTTAACCAGTTACAATTTTTACAAGTCGAGGACTGTCGCGTGATTGAAGAAATTTTTGAGACTGGCATTATAGTTGAATCTGGGGCCTTTCCTAAACTGAAGAATTTGCAGCTCATTAATCTGCCAAGATTGTCTAACATTTGCAGTGAAGTAACGCCATTAGATTGGCCTTCCTTGGAGACAATAATGATTAGAGCCTGCGAGGAGCTAAGAAATTTCCCATCTACCTTTTCAAATGCAGCCAGATTGAGAAAGATCAAGTGCACTGAACGTTGGTGGAACAATTTGGCTTGGGCAAATGACAATGTGAGAAATCATTTAGAGGGTGTAAAAGAATTCCTATCTTGATGCACAATTTGTTATGTTTGATTTATTTTCGTTGTGTACTTACTCTTTAACTATTTATTGTAGAAGTTTTCGAATAATATATCTCTAATCATCTTTAACTTATGAATTATGAATTTAAGTTTTTTTATTTGTGGATTCAAGTTCGTGTACAAGTGAATATCAATAATGTTATGCTTACTCACGAACTTACTAACCATCTTACTAACCTTTGTAAATATAAAGCATAGTACGGGTACTATAAGCATAGTACGGGTACCATATGTAATTTTAACAAAGGTAAGTAAAGTGGTTAGTAAGTTCGTGAGTAAGTACAGCATTACTCGGTGAATATTTATCCTACTTATGACTATCTATCATCAAACTAGCAGACAAAGGGAGTGTTTGACTTACTGTACTAGATTGGATTGGACTAGATCAAATATGACTAGATAATTAATATTGTAAAACCACTGATACTCTCTATAAAAATAACCTTTATATAGTTATAAAAAATTATATTCCAAACTTAGGATAGTTATAAATAAGAATAAACCCCATATTGTAAAAATTATAATTTTTCAGATTCTCGTCTTACGAAAGTTACCTTCACACAAGGTATTAAAACCTGACCCGGGGAGTGACCCGTTCAGGCTACCGGGTCACGGGTTAACCGGTTTAACCAATGGTTTGACAAGTTTAAAATTTAGCAAACACACCTCTAATAAATACCATCAGACCCTCTAGGTTTGAAATCTAGCAAACACAACCCCTAGCCAAATCAAATTGACGATTGATTGGGAGAGTGGTAGTGACACACCAGGGAGGGTAGATCGGGTGATAGGGAGGACGAATCGGCAGCTAGCAAGTTGAGGCATTGCTGAAAAATGGCAAATCGGTGGTGGAAGTCAAACAGTCACAATGACTTTTTTTGGCGAGATGACTGTGGATGTTCGTGAACGACGGTAAGGGAACTTGGGAGAAGGTAGATTGGTGGCTGAGGAGGCCTATTGATGTCAGAGAAGGCACGATTGACGTTGGAAAATGGAAGAAAAATTGTTGGACGACTAAACATCGCGCAGCAGTGGGCGATGAAACGTCATGGCCTAGGAGAAAGTCAGAAGGTGGTTTCTAACAGCAAGGGAAGGTGGAAGGTTGCCGGAAAAGGGGAGGTCATCGCCGATTTGCATTTGGCTAGAGGGTGTGTTTGCTAGATTTCAAACCTTCAGGGACTGATGGTATTAATTAGGGGTGTGTTTGCTAGATTTTAAAGTTGGGAAAACTACAATAATGGAAAATCTGCATGAAGCAGTTGGTAAATTATTTGATGTAGTTTTCTGGGTAAACGTAAACCCTGATGGAAATGTCAGAGAAGTGCAGGAAATACTTGTGAGGCAGTTAAATCTAAAAGCGGATGAACAGAACAATGACCAAAGAGCGGAAATGATATCTGAGGAGCTGAAGAATAAAAGGTATGTGTTATTTTTTGATGGAGTTTCTTCAGAGATTAATTTGGAAGAAGTAGGGATTTGTGAGGAGCATGAAGCAAGGAAGGTGGTGTTTGCCTGTAGAGACAGAAATATATGCTGGCAAACGGATGTCGATATCAATATTCGGAGATTATCGGACGAGGACGCTGGAAAGTTATTCTGGAAAATAGTTGGAGTTCATTTGAAGGAAAATCGAAACATCAAGCCAATAGCAAGATTAATAATCAATGAGTGTGGTGGGATGCCAAATATGGTTAAGATCATCGGAGCTAGCTTGAAAAATGTGAATGATCCAGCCATATGGCGCTCTTTTTTGAGTCAATTAAGATCACCAAGTGGAGAACAAAGGCAAGAATTGGAAGACTTCTACAGGGTCTTCAAACTTGAATGTGACAAGCTAGGGGATGAAAAGAAACTCTGCTTGTTATATTGGGCTGTTTTCCGAGCTGGCTATGAGGTTCCCCGAGACTACATCATTGAGTGCTGGAGAGCAGAGCAATTTTTGGTGGGGCTCCAAACGCTCGGGGAGGCACGTGATAGAGGGCACGCGATTTTGGATGAATTAGTGAAGAAAGCTTTACTGGAAAAGGGAAGTAAATGGGCACACTATAAGATGTATCAGCATTTCCAGCGAGCAGCATTGAGAATCGCTAATTGCAGGGAGAACAGGGTCAGAATTTTAGTAAAAGAGAGGGAAAAGATTAGAGAAGAAGAATGGGAATCGGCAGATAGGATCTCACTGATTAGTTCATGCCAATTAATTTTTCCAGAAAGTCCCAAATGTTGTAGAATCTTAGCTCTGTTTGTCCAGGAATGTAGCTTGGCAGAATTTCCAAGTTCATTCTTCAGTTATATGAATGGCCTTCAACTTCTTGACTTACATGATACCAATATCAAGTCACTTCCATCATCCATCTCCAGCTTGGTAAATCTCAATGTGTTATTCCTGAATCGTTGCAGTCAATTAACACATCTCCCTGTTGAGATAGGAGGTCTCCAAAGACTTGAAATTTTGGATTTATGTCATTCTGGATTTCATAGTTTGCCTGCTCAAATTGGACAATTGACCAATCTTAAGTGTCTAAGAGTTTCATTTATAGAAAATTTTGAGAATCACAACCATGTGGACTCTGGACCAAAGGAGATGATCGCTACTAACATAATTGCCAGGCTTCAATCATTAGAAGAGCTGAGTATTTATGTGAATCCCGCCAGCAGGAGATGGATCCAAAACGCAGAAAGTATTGCAGAGGAAATTGCTACCTTGGAAGAACTAAGAACTCTTAGTTTCTACTTTCCCTCTGTGGATTGCTTGCAGACTTTTGTCAATAAAAGTAAATCATGGAATGGAAACGACACATTGTGGCGAGGTAACAGCTTCAGATCATTTAGCATCGATGTCGGTTATCAGAGAAGAAGCAGTCCTCCTGTAAAATTAATTGACTCAAAATGCAAATGCACAGCTGAAAAGCATTTGAGATTTTCTGCAGGTGAAGGATTTCCTGATGCAGTTGCAAAGATATTGGAGGAAGCATGTGCTCTGGAGCTGATTGGTAATAATGTTGTCAATATATCATGTTTAAGCACTGCTGATAAACTAGGAGGGCTTGAAGCTTGTGTAATTGAAGAATGTGGTGAAATGACAAGCATCATTGATGGTGATCTTGCAGGAGGCCCGGCATTTCAGCAATTGAATGAGTTACACTTACTGAGTCTTCCGAAACTGGTGCACATTTGGAATGGTCCAATAGACTCCAAAAGTCTTACCATGCTTACAACTCTAACGCTAAAAGGATGCCACAGTTTAAAAGCACTTGTCTCAGAAGCAATGGCCCTCCGACTTAACCAGTTACAATTTTTACAAGTCGAGGACTGTCGCGTGATTGAAGAGATTTTTGAGACTGGCATTATAGTTGAATCTGGGGCCTTTCCTAAACTGAAGAATTTGCAGCTCATTAATCTGCCAAGATTGTCTAACATTTGCAGTGCAGTAACGCCATTGGATTGGCCTTCCTTGGAGACAATAATGATTAGAGCCTGCGAGGAGCTAAGAAATTTCCCATCTACCATTTCAAATGCAGCCAGATTGAGAAAGATCAAGTGCACTGAACGTTGGTGGAACAATTTGGCTTGGGCAAATGACAATGCGAGAAATCATTTAGAGGGTGTAAAAGAATTCCTATCTTGATGCACAATTTGTTATGTTTGATTTGTTTTCCTTGTGTACTTACTCTTTAACTATTTATTGTAGAAGTTTTCGAATAATATATCTCTAAATCATCTTTAACTTATGAATTATGAATTAAAGTTTTTTTATTTGTGGATTCAAGTTCGTGTACAAGTGAATATCAATAATGCTATGCTTACTCATGAATTTATTAACCATCTTACTAACCTTTGTAAATATAAAACATAATACGGGTACCATAAGCATAGTACGGGTACCATATGTAATTTTAACAAAGGTGAGTAAAGTGGTTAGTAAGTTCGTGAGTAAGCATAGCATTACTCAGTGAATATTTATCCTGCTTACGACTATCTATCATCAAACTAGCAGACAAAGGGAGTGTTTGACTTACTGAACTAGATTGGATTGGATTGGATTAGATTAAATATGACTGGATAATTAATATTGTAAAACCACTGATACTCTCTATAAGAATAACCTTTATATAGTCATAAAAAATTATATTCCCAACTTAGGATAGTTATAAATAAAAATAAACTCCACATTGTAAAAATTATAATTTTTCCAATTCTCGTCTTACGAAAGTTACCTTCATACAAGGTTTTAAAACCTGACCCGGGGAGTGACCCATTCAGGCTACCGGATCACGGGTTAAGTTTAAAATCTAGCAAACACACCTCTAATAAATTCCATCAGACCCTATAGGTTTGAAATCTAGCAAACACAACCCCTAGCCAAATCAAATTGACGATTGATTGGGAGAGCGGCGGTGACACACCAGGGAGGGTAGATCGGGTGATAAGGAGGACGAATCGACAGCTAGCAAGTTGAGGCATTGCTGAAAAATGGCAAATCGGTGGTGGAAGTCAAACATTCACAATGACTTTTTTTGGCGAGATGACTGTGGATGTTCCTGAACGACGACAAGAGAGCTTGGGAGAAGGTAGATTGGTGGTTGAGGAGGCCTATCGATGTCAGAGAAGGCACGATCGACGTTGGAAAATGGAAGAAAAATTGTTGGACGACTAAATATCGCGCAGCAGCGGGAGATGAAACGTCATGGCCTAGGAGAAAGTCAGAAGGTGGTTTCTGATAGCAAGGGAAGGTGGAAGGTTGCCGGAAAAGGGGAGGTCATCGTCGATTTGCGTTTGGCTAGAGGGTGTGTTTGCTGGATTTCAAACCTTCAGGGACTGATGCGTATTAATCAGGGGTGTGTTTGCTAGATTTTAAACTTGAAATAGTTGAAAGGGTTACCTGACCCGGAGAAAGCCCTAGGTCCCGGTCCAACCGGTTAAGCCGGTCGGGCCAATCCGGGTTCTAAAACCATGCTTTCACATAGTAATAAT